ATATTTATATATGTATATATGTGTATATATATATATACGTATATATGTATATATGTATATATGTGTATATATATATATATCCAGCAAGTGGCATGGTAGTCAGGAGGGTGCTGGATTCCCACATGGTCGACCACAGTTTGAATCTTGGACCTGGTGGCCTGCTTTCTCATTTCCTCTCTCTGGTGAGTGCCCGGACTCTGAAGCAAATTAAAAAATGATAATTCTGGGACCAGCAGGTGGCATGGTGATTAAGATGCTGGACACTCCCACATGGCTGACCACAGTTCAAGTCTTGGACCTGGTGGCTTGCTTTCTCACTTCCCCTCTTTCTCTCTCTCTGTGTCTCTCTGTGTCAAATTAAAAATAAATGAATAAATAAATATTAATAATAATAATACTGATAAATAAAATTAAATAAATCATTCTTTTTTTTGAGAAGAGAGGTTTTTACTATAGGGTGCACGTGCTCCCCAGAGAGAGAAAGCGAGAAATCAGCCCATGGGGGTATGAGCACTCCACAATCACTTCTCCTCCATTCTCCTCTAGGGATTTTGGGCACATTTGCATACATGCCTGAAGTGAGTTTCAAGTCTCTGGGTGCTGGACTCGAACTGCAGGGGAGTCCAGTGACATACCATTATGCCATCTGCTGGTACCAAATAATTCTTTTTTTCTTTCTTTCTTTCTTTCTTTCTTTCTTTCTTTCTTTCTTTCTTTCTTTCTTTTTTATTGAGAGGTTTTTCCAATAGGGCACATGCGCTCACCAGAAAGGCAGAGAGAGAGACAGACAGAAAGCAAGAATTACCCCCCCACCAGGGAGGATGGGCACAATCCCTTTTTCTCCAGTTTCCTCTCAGGATCTTGGGCACACATGCACACGCACCCGGCATGAGTTGAAGCCACCAGGTCCAAGACTCAAACCATAGTCGACTACATGGGAGTCCAGTAACATAGCCATTACGCCAAGTGCTGGTCCCCCAAATAATTCTTTTTAAAAAAAGGCATGTATCAGAATCAGAGAGACACAGACATATAATGCACATAGTACAATAGGTGGCTATATGGGTAAGAGTGAGTTTCAGAAAATGTTTTCTTGGGGCCAGCAGGTAGCATGGTGGTTAAGGCACTGGATTCTCACATGGCACACTTTGGTTCAAGTCCCAGACTTGCGGCTTGAAAATCACACTGGACGTGAATGTGTGTACACGCAGAATTCCAGAAGAAGAATAGAGAAGGGATTGTAGCATGGCCTTCCCCCTAGGGGGTGATTTTTTGTTTTCCCTCTCAGACTGTCTCTCTTTCTCACTCTCTCTAACTAGCACATTCATCCTATGGCAGAAACTTAAAAAGAGAAAATGTTTTCTTAAAGGGCCAGATGAGAACTATTTTGTTTTATGTGCAATTAGGTCTTGGTAACTACTTGACTCTGACATTGTGACTCAAAAGCTGCCACAGACAATAAGGATACCAGGGCCATAACTGCATTCTAATAAAATTATACTGACGGGCCAGCTGGTGGTTAAGGGTACTGGACTCACACATGGCTGACTGCGTTTCAAGTCCTGGACTTAGCCGCTTGCTTTCTTACTTTCTCTTGCTCTCTCTCTCTCTGGTCAAATTGAAATAAATAAATAAATGGATAAACAAAGTTAAATAAAGGAATTCTTTTTTTTTGGGGGGGGGAGAGGTTTTGGCTATAGGGCGCGTGCGCTCACCAGACAGACAGAGAAAGACAGAGAGATAGAAAGCGAGAAATCACCCCCAGGATGGTCACGCCGCAATCCCTTCTCCTCCATTCTCCTCTCGGGATCTTGGGCACGCACGCACACGTGCCCGGCGTGAGTTTTAAGCCACCAGGTCCGGGACACGAACCGCGGTCGACTACGTGGGAGTCCAGCGACATAGCCATTATGCTAACTGCTGGTTCCCAATAAAGTAATTCTTTTAATAAAAAAACAACTATACTGAAAAAAAAAAAAAAAAAAGCCAACAATACTGATAAACTCAGGGAACATACTAGGCTATGCTTTGTCAAGCCCTGGAAAAGCAGATTAGGTTAAGGGAAGGAATTAAAGAGGAAAAACAATAAATAAAAAGAGGCCTCACACAGACCAATAATGACAGAGGGTGCCTTGAACTACTTTCAACTCAGTTCTGGGGAAATAAATTATTTTACAATTAAGAGGCAATCAAAGAAAAGAAAATGGTACCTTTGTGTTGTTTTAATTTTCTTCCACACTTACCTCCTTGCTGTCTGTCACAGGAACCCACTTAAATATCCTAAGGGATGTGTCACCCACCGTCACCCACTTTTTCTCCCTAAAAGAAAGATACCTCTTAGAACTGATAAAACAGTAACACAGATTTTCTGTTCAGTTCATTGCTTGTAATCTTCTACCTCTCTGAACATCTATTCCTTTAGTCTGGAATGTCTTTATTTTTTTCTTCTTCTTCTTTTTTTTTTCTTTTTTTGCTATACGGCGTGTGTGCTCGCCAGACAGACAGAGAGATAGAAAGTAAGAAATCACGCAATCCCTTCTCCTCCACTCTCCTCTCGGGATCTTGGGCACGCACGCACACGCACCCGGCATGAGTTTTAAGCCACCAGGTCCGGGACTCGAATCACAGTCGACTACGTGGGAGTCCAGTGACATAGCCATTACGCTAACTGCTGGTCCTAAGTCTGGAATGCCTTTTAAACATGCCCTCCGTCAAATGATACCTTACCTTATGGTGCAAAATCATCCTTTTCAGGAAAGACTTCCCTGTCAAATTCCTTTGGTTATGACCCTGTATTTGCCATCTCTTTTTTTCTTTTCTTTTTTGAAGAGGTTTTTGTTATAGGGTGCGTGCGCTCGCCAGAAAGATGGAAAGAGAGAGAGACACAGAAAGCAAGAAATCACCCCCCAGGGGGGATGGCCACGCTGCAATCCATTCTCCTCTGGAGACTTCTGGCATGCACACACACGTGCCCGGCATTAGTTTAAGCCACCAGGTCTGGGACTCGAACTGCGGTCGACTACATGGGAGTCCAGTGACATAGCCATTATGCCAATTGCTGGTCCTTGTAATTTACCATCTCTCCTTGCACAGAGTTTGCCTTTTTCTCCTTCAGGGACTCCCCCAATATAGAGTACCAGAGTACCAACACATTTTTTAACTTGGTATTTACCTGGCATGATTTATTTATTTTCCAAAATTAATTCAATTCCACTGATATTTATGAAGTCCTACAACAGAAGGTGATAAAGGATATATGAGATATGGTTCCCCCTACCTGGAAGTGCATAAGGAATAAAAAAGGTAAGGAAGGAAATCGCTGCAATATGTGGAAGTTGAGAAAGCTGAAAGACACAGTGAGGCTAAGCTACTCCATGGAGGAAGAACTCCTACATCTCCTGTGGAACTCTGGGGCAAAACATAACTCCACTTAAAAATAATCGCAGGACCAGGGCTGGCAGGTGGCATGGTGGTTAAGGGCGCTGAACTCCCACATGGCCGACTGTAGTTTGAGTCCCAGACCTGGCGGCTTGTTCTCTCTCTCTCTCACTCTGTCCCTCTCTGGTCAAATTTAAATAAATAAATAAATGAAGTTAAATAAAATAATTATTTAAAAAAAATAATAATCGCAGGAGAAAGGCAGGATGCTGCTGCCTAGAAAAGAAGTGAGCTTCACACCACTTCTAGAAGAAGTAAAGGCAGAGCCTTAAAAAAAGAAAAATCATTTTCCTCCTCACAGACACAAACCTGGGAAAGACAGCAACATTCTATTGGGAACAGCGAGTACTCAAGCTGTGAGAGACAAGGCTGAAAGGTAGTTTGAGGCTGTTTGGAAGAAGGGATTAAACCTCAACCCGAGAGGTGAGGAGTACACACACCATGCTGCACTGTATTCTTTTTTTTTTAGGGAGAGATTTTTAATATAGGTAGGGCATGTGCACTCACTGGAGAGTCAGAGAGATGAAAAGCAAGAAATTACTCCCCAAGGGGGATGGCCATGCCACAATCCCTTCTCCTCTTGGGATTTTGGGCATGCATGCACACATGCCCAGTGTGAGTTTTAAGCTGCCAGGTCTGGGAATTTTAAGCTGCCAGGTCTGGAACTCAAACCATGGTAGACTATGTGGGAGTCCAGTGATATAACCATTACGCCATCTGCTGGTCCCACCATATTCTTTTTCACTTTCATGTGACTTAGTTTGTGTGCTTTTCTCTTTACCAAATATGAATTTTGTACTTTTAAAAAAGTAATTATTTATTTTTAAATTCCATTTGTTATTATCATTATTTTTTTTGTAATTTGACCAGAGATAGAGAGAAAGGGCAAGTGAGAAAGCAAGCTGTCAGGTATAGGACTTGAACCGCAGGAGGCCACATGGAAATCCAGTCCCTTTAATCATCACACCACCTGCCGGCCCCGAGTTTTGTACTTTTAATCATATGTGAGTCTTCAAAAAGTTCATAGATGGGAACCAGCAGTTAGCGTAATGACTATGTCACTGGACTCCCATGTAGTCGACCGCAGTTCGTGTCCCGGACCCGGCGGCTTAAAACTCACGCCGGGCGCGTGCGCGTGCGTGCCCAAGATCCCGAGAGGAGAATGGAGGAGAAGGGATTGTGGCGTGACCATCCCCCCTGGGGGATGATTTCTCGCTTTCTGTCTCTATGTCTCTCTCTGTCTGTCTGGCGAGCGCACGCGCCCTACAGTGAGAATCTCTCAAAAAAAAAAAAATTCCCCTTGTTCTCTCCCTCCTTTCCCCACCTCCTCTCCTCCTATCTTCCTCACCTCTTCTTCACCTTTCCTTCAAGAAAAAAAAAAGTTCATAGAAAATGTGTGTTACAAGAAAACTACATGAATTCCATTTTCCCATAACTTTCTGAAGTCCTCCCATTCTGTGAAAGGGAGAATATTACTGGGACCAGCAGTTAGCGTAATGGCTTTGTCGTTGGACTCCCATGTAGTCAACAATAGCTCGCATCCCAGACCCGGTGGCTTAAAACTCACGCCGGGTGCGTGTGCATGCGTGCCCAAGATCCTGAGAAGAGAATGGAGAAAAAGGGATTGCAGCGTGGCCATCCCCCCGGGGGGTGATTTCTCACTTTCTGTCTGTCTCTCTGTCTGTCTGGCGAGCACACGTGCCCTATAGCAAAAATAACCTCTCCCCAAAAAAAAGAAAAAAGAAAAAAAAAAGGGAGAACATTACTTATATGACATCCACTCTTCAGTGAAGCCCAGGAAAGAGCTCTGCATCAATAACCAACTGCTGGGACCAGCAGTTAGCGTAATGGCTATGTTGCTGGACTCCCACATAGTCGACTGCGGTTCGTGTCCCAGACCCGGTGGCTTAAAACTCACGCCGGGTGCGTGTGCATGCGTGCCCAAGATCCTGAGAAGAGAATGGAGAAAAAGGGATTGCAGCGTGGCCATCCCCCCGGGGGGTGATTTCTCGCTTTCTGTCTCTCTGTCTCTCTCTGTCTGACGAGCACACGTGCCCTATAGCAAAAAACTCTTAAATAAATAAATAAATAAATAAAATAATAACCAACTGCCTAATCTTATCCCTTTGCTAGAAAAGCTCCCAGAAGACACTGTCAAAGACGACATTCAAACCAGTAATTCTAACCTTTCTGCAGCCATAGCCTTTTTTGCTCATGGGTCTCTTCTCATATACTCCTTATTAAATTGTATGACGTTTTTCTGTTTTTTTTTAATAATGTTTCTGACCTAACAGCCAATTTGCCAACTTATAACTTCAATAAAGACCACAGGCTATTGGGACCAGCAGTTGGTGTAATGGCTATGTCGCTGGACTCCCATGTAGTTGACTGCAATTCGAGTCCCGGGCCTGGTGGCTTAAACTCACGCTGGGCGCATATGTGTGCGTGCCAAAGATCCCGAGAGAATGGAGAAGGGACTGCAACGTGGTCATCCCTCCTGGGGGGTGATTTCTCACTTTCTATCTCTCTGTCTCTCTCTTGTCTTTCTGGTGACACATTCCCTATAGCAAATACCTCTCAAAAAAAAAAAAGATCATAGGCTATTAATCTTTTCAATCTTATTGCTCCATTACTGCTAAAAATATAGACAGGCAGAAATAAATTTATAGAACAGATTTTTATATGAAAATCAATTTTTTAAAAGGTATTTTGATCATTTCAGAGATAATTATCTGGAGATTGGCCTTTGACTGTGCCTCTTCTCCTGTCTTCATTTAAAGGTCCCACCAGGGGCCAACAGGTGGCGTGGTGGTTAAGGCGCTGGATCACACAAGGCTGACTTTGCAGTTTGAGTCCAGGAACCAACAGTTTGAGAAACATGCTGGGCTGGGACCAGCAGATGGCATAATGGTTATGTTGCTGGACTCCCACGTAATTAACCACATTTCAAGTCCCAAACCTGACAGCCTTAAAAGTCACTCTGGACACGTGAGCATGTAAGCCCAAAATCCCAAGAGGAAAATGGCGAATGGAGACAGGATTGTGGCATGGTCACCCAGGGGGTGATTTCTCACTTTCTGTCTCTGTCTCTCCAGCAAGCACATGTGCCTAACAGCAAAAAATCTGTCTAAAAAAAAAAAAGAAAAACATGCTGGGTGCATGCCCAAAATCCTGAGAGGAAAATGGAACAGAAGGGAATGCAGCATGAGATGATTTCTCACTTTGCTTCTCTACATCTCTCTTTCTCTCTCTCTCCAGCAAGTACACTTGCCCTGTGACCAAAATCTAGAAAAATAAATAAAAAATAAAGGCTCCCGCAAGTAAAAAAAAAACTATCCTAAGAGACAAACATACCACTGGGAGTGGTAAATATGGCAATGGCAGAATCCCTTCCCACTCTGGGTTAAGACTACATAAAGAGGTCCACCACAATAGCACACACTGGACAGTACTGCTTGGCAGGCTGAGGCCACAAAGGAGGCCTAAGTTTGAATCCTGGTCCACCTTGAAAAGCCAGGTATCACAGTGTGCACCTGCAGTCCCAGCTACTCAGTAGGCTGAGGTAGGAGAATTGCTACACAGCAAGATCCTAAAACACCACACATGCTACATAAAAAAAGAGGAGTCTATTATGGAAAGCGTTTTAATTTCAACCTATCTGCAGAAATCCATCTATTTCTCATTGGGTCCTAATGAGGTAAAAATGACAGAGATTATCATTACACTCACAAGCAAAGTCATAAGAAGGGATTTAAAAAAAAAAAGAGACGAAAGAGACGAGTCTTGCCTAAGATCACTCTCTAAATCACTATTAAGGCCCTACAGGCCCTACAACTCCATCTAGACCTGATTAAAACAAAATACCCGTTCTGAGCTTGCCTACAGTGCTCTTCGATATTCTCCAAGGCGTATAAAAAATATGTGTGTAAGAAAACTAACAAAAGAGACTCCTTCATTTCAAGACGTTACTTCTCTAAGCCTGCCAGGAAGAGAATGAATGGCTTATTTTAAGGGCCCCTGGTATCCTTAACAAGTATTTGTTCTCAGCAGG